GTTTAACTATGTCAGCTGGCCAAGAACAGTGCTATAAGCATGATCATGTTTTTGCGTAGTATTAGTTCTCAAAATTTGATTTAGTAATGAGCATTACAAACAGAACTTGTCAAAAAAAAAAAAACAGAGACATTTTGCTAAATCAGAGAAGACCCATTCCTTCACAAAAGAGATTCATATCCTGTATTTAATGGTTTGACCCAAGATCTGATAAGTATCCTTCAAATACATAACTGCTTTTAAGTGAGAGCCATTGACAGAGATCTCTATACCTAAACACTAAGCCCATTATAAAATCTGTACATGTGGTCTGTACCAATTATTATCAAAAATATTAGGAGAGAGAAACATTGAGTAACTTTCAAATAAATGACACTTCAATATTCAATTTGTTCTATCTTTTCAAGCAGAATTAGTTTTGAGAAGTATTTTAGTTCATTTATTATTGGAAAAGACCTTACTAGCTTATTCAAGCAAGAAAATTACCCCAAAAGCTTGCAAGATTTATAATGCTTGGGAAAAAAAAGGCAATTCAAAACCTAATGAGACATTTTAGGCCTCATTTACATCCCTAACCTGACCCATTTTCTGCAAAACGTTTTTGTTGTTAATTTACATACTAAAAGCTAGTTATTTATCCATCCCTAACCAAAAAGTTGATGAGATTACTAATACCACAGTGGTGTTAACATTACCCTAAAAGCTAAATACAACCATTTCTAGAAGGTTGACTATTGAGTCATTTATTTAGCTATAATCTTTATTACATGCTGGCAATGCACACAAAGTCTGAGAGGATGACATGAACACCTGAATATCTTATTGCCACACTCACTTTAGTGGCAGGAAATCTTTAGGAATGCACACTTTGGAAATGAAGCACATTAAGGTGCTCTGTGTATGTGCACATATGCATACAATCAGAAACATAAATAATGCGATGAAACACATTATCTCAAACAAGTTCAGATACCATAAATTTGAATATCTTAAAACTTTGCATACATTTGGAAGAGATAATTATATTTATGGAGCTACTTTTAATATAAACTCAATATTTTGAGAAAAATGACAGAGAAGATCTGAAGTGCATAGTTGCAGAGTAAAAATATTCCTTGCTGCCTTCAGGAATATTTATATTTTTTTCATGATAGAAGTAGAAAGTAGAATGATGCTTACCAAAGGGTGGGAGAGATTGAGAGGAAAGCGAAGTAGGGAAAGTGAAGTAGGGAAAGCTTGTAGAACAGGTACAAATTTGGAGATAATAGGAATAAGTTCTAGAGTCTGGTAGAAGAGAGGGTTTTGAATACGTTCTTAAAAAGGAATGATAAATGAGGTGATATATATGCTGTGTACTCAAACTTGATCACTATCCATTGTTTATTTGTATCAAAACAACTTGCTGTACCCTATAAAAGTGTGCAATTATCATGTCAATTGAAAATATATATCTATATATATCCTTAATTATAAATGTTTTATGTTTATATTGCAGATATATTTATGAATGATTTTATTTTATATATGTACATTTTATTATCTACTATTGTATATAGTCACCATCTGTTAATAATTGTTATTTTGATAGCTTGCTCACAAAAAGCACTGAATTTATAGTAACTTGACTAATATTCTTTTTAACACAAGTGTCTATGGAATATAAACTGTGGGTGGAGCTACAGTTGGGCACATGTTCAGAGTTTTACACTTAGAAATATGACTATCCTGGGCTGTAATTTCCTTTCCTTCTAGCATAAACTCCCTCCCTAACTGACATTTATTAAATCCCAACAGGATCCAGAGACAGAGAAATGCACAGTGTATCTCTGTGGCTCCTTTTTCAGGGGATTTTTAACTAGACTGCATCATGAGTCCCTTTATTAAGTAGTGTGTCTTTCGGACAGCGTTGCCCTGAATTTAGTGTGTTCCACATCTCCTGCAAATCATCCTCCTTAGATTATCCTAGCATTGCATTGTTATCAAGATCATTGTGGTATCAAAGGAGGTCCCAAACCCCATCTAGTGTTAATGGTAGCTCCAGAATCTGAGGCTGGCTCTTATAAGACACCTGTAGGTCAATGCCCTCAGTGGGAAAATGTGGCTCTGTTCTTTTCGTATTTAACTTTAGTTTACTCAATAATGAGTTTCAGATTGTATTAGTTTTCAGATACTCTGCCACTGTATTCTTCCCTTTAGAAGAGGTTTTACAAGATTACATACAATCAATAGGCAAAGAAAACACTCCTTAGTAAATGAAATTGCTCATAACTCATCTGCAAAGTAAATTGCATTCACCAAAATGTGTTATCTATGGTGTATTAAGAATTATGTTGGGCCAGGTATTTGGCTCAGTGGTTCTGCCACCTGCCTCACAAGTGCAAGGTCCTGAGTTCGATCCTCAGTACCAAAAAAAAAAAAAAGGATTATGTTGGCTGGGGGTTTGGCTCAATGGTTCTGCCACCTGCCTCGCAAGCACAAGGACCTGAGTTCGATTCCTAGTACCAAAAAAGAAAGAATTATGTTTTTGTTCCCTATTTGGGGCCCTGAAGAACTATTGGCACTGAAGCTATGGTCTTCATGGCTATTACCACCATCTTAACTATGTCTAACATGAAAAAGAGCTCATAATGAAAACTCCATAAAGGGTAAATGATTTTCAAATCATTCTGTTCACCTGAAAATTTAGGTTTATGTTGTTTTCACATGGCACATCAGACTCTCCAAGAAACTATTCTGCAGTTGACTATTCAGTGTTACATTTACCTATTTGAAATATCTTATGGCATGTCTCTAATGCTAGACTTTATTGATAAAACTCAGTGAACATTCTATTTTCTGTGATAATACTGACTTTCTGCAGTTGTCCCAAGTAGTGTGTGCTGATAAATGACACAAACCATCTCATTTTCTTACAACATGCTAACATTGTATGGCATAGCAAAACATTTTTCATTTTTTCTGGATATCATTTTGTTTAATCTCTGAGGATGATATCATTCAATCCTGCAGTTCCTGTACTCATGCCAGACATTTCACGATGATCTTCAGCTACTGTATCTCTCATTATTTCCCAGAAATTAAATAAGTTTAAGATTTCATGTCTATTAATGCCTTTTTAAATCATTTGTTCTAGAAATCTTAGGTGAGTACTTTCATTTATTTCTAAATGAATTATTTAGTAATAAATGAAACAAACTTGATCCTTGCCATTGTTGTGCTTAGAGCAGGGTTGAGGGAGAAGATAAATCAACAAAATAATTACATATGATGAGACTGAGTTCAGCATACAGAAAATAAATATAGTACTGTAATATTAGTTATAAAGGTAAAGTAGGATTTCAGGCTATGTGGCTAAAATGATGACTTGAGCTGATGACATTAACATCCAGAAGAAAAAGTAAAAAGGAGCCAGCCATTTAGAAACTAATGAGAAGAACATCCGAGGTAGAGAATGTCAATACAAAGATACTTAAATTGTAGTCTGTTCTGGGAATTGGGAGAAGATCACTCTGATTATATGCTAGCATGCAAGATAGTGCTGGAGAGGTGAATAGGGTAGATGAGGCCATGACTATGGCAACAGACATTGGGCACCATTGGTGCTCCCCTGAATTGAATTTACATACCCAACTCTGACCACCACCTCTGCTTTCTCACCCTGTCCCATCATAGATGGTACCTGCTTCTGAATAAGCTTATGGCATATAGGGTAGAAATAAAGAACATGAGTTTTCTGAGAAAAACTCCCAGTACCGGAGACCTGTGCAGTAGGTTCCAGTCTCCTGCCTAGTGTACGCTGCAGGGCTGAAGAAAGACTCAAAGACAGCATTAAAGAAAAAAGTGGCGAGCCAGGATGGCCAGTGCTGAGCAACCAGCAAACGCCCTGATTAGCCCAAGCCACTGATGTTTATTTATAATCAAATTGACGTAGAGGGGAACTGCATAGGAGAACAGCAGTTGGGCAGTTGCTGTGGGTGCTAACACAGGCAAGGCTTATAAAGTAAAAGACAAAGCATTCATGAATTAAAAACAGAATAGACACAATATAGAGTTGTAATTAGAACCTTGTCCTTTGAGTTAAGAAGGTTTTAGTCGTAAGAATGGAATTTGGGGGTAAGTTACTCCAACCTCAGCTAACATGTTATCTCATATTGAGCCCCACAGCTTCACAGGTCATTTCTCTGGTCTCTGCTGTGGCGTTAGTAGGAAGGTTATGCTAACCTGTGCACGACCACAGTGCTTATGAGATGCTTCTATGAATCACATAACCTTCAGTCAGACTCGCTTCTTAAAATGAGCCAATTGAGGGGTTAACTCTTTACAGTCTGCACTGCTTACAGCCTGCTTTGGGTATAATCAATAAGGTGGTTCCTTACACCCAAGAGAAAGAGAAAGGAAAAATCCGGATTAAATCACTCAAGGTTATTTTTGTGTGTGTGTAATCTCATCCATTAACGAAATAAGCCATTATATATCTCCCATACCAAAAGAAATGAGAGGACAGAAATTCTGTGGATATCTGTACTAATGGAGTAACTATAAAATAGAAATATCGGAAGTGAAAAAGTAACTTCCCAAAAGTTGTGTTGTCTCCCTCACTTCTGTTGAAATAATGATGAGAACTGTATCATTTTATAAAGGAAACATCCTTTACATAATGTTGGCACTTTAAAAGCTTCTATTAAACCCACAGTGTGTTGTAAACAGGCCAGATATACTGAAATACATTATCACAATAGACTCAAGCATTATAACTTGAATATCCCAACAAAACTAAATCCAATGCCAACAAGAGGAAAACCAGTCTTGATGGATTTGTTACTTAACTATAGCCATCCATATGTTTTCAGTGTTTCATCTACATCTTTAATGAATATCACATACCTACAAGTGCACAGTTGTCAAAATTCACTACATGTGCCTCTTTTCTAAAACAAAAACTTGAATGCTCCTGTACTGATTTATGTGTAAACAGAAATATTCTTCTCTCTCCAGGCAAAGAGCCCCTGCCTGAGAACTGCACTGTAGGATAGGTGGACACTCATCTTCACTTTGGCAGAATCGTTGGGCCTTCACACAGCACACAAAGTTCACCCTACTACTCTGCAGCTCAGGAGCAGCCCCCGGTGAGGCCACAGCAATGGTGAGTGTACCTGTGAGGCCAGGAGCTTGGATAGCTCAGGCTTGTAGACATACTTTTTCAGATTTTCTAATAATCAATCTTGTCATTCTTTCTGACAGAGTGTGAGACTGTCACACAACTACCTTCTCTATTGCTACTTTTCCTATATTCTGCCTGCAGCCCTACTAATTCTGTGAATCAATGATATCTCATTTTCTCTTTGTGTATGTAAGTATGCTACAAATGCAAACTTAAAAGGAGAGAGTCAGAGACAGAGAGAGATAGAGACAGAGACAGACAGAGAAACAGAGAGAGAAAGAGAGGGAGAGAAGGCTATTTTGTAAATCCTTATATTTGTTATCATATTTCTTTCCATATCAGTCAAAAATAGCTGACACAAATGTCCATTTGCCAGGAACCTTTGAAATACAGTAATTATTTATGATTTTATATAAAAGAAGTAGAAAATGCAAAGCAGCTTTGGTTCATAAAACAGGAAAGATAAATGTTGCCAGGGAAAAAAATCTATAATAAATGTGTAGTGAACTATGTGAATGAAAATCTGTTGTATGCTAGTGAGATTGTTAAATGGAAATCAAGGACATTTACTGTGTTAATGAGTGAGTCTTTTCCAACTACAGAAAAGCAAGTTTATTTCAGAAGACATGACATGTAAATCTAATTTGTATTATTAGAATATTTTGGACATAATGATTATACATATATTATAAAGTAAAAGCTGTATAAAGCTGTACTTTTTTTACTGTAGTAATTTAAAGTATTTTTTTTTGAGGGGGGTTGGAGTTTCTAAGGTTTTCCAAACTTAATTATAATTTTGTTAACTACTTTATAAACAAGAATTATAAAAAGTAGAGAAGCATAAAAATTTATGATTTGCTGCATTATATACCCTCTGAGTGTTCAACTATTTTAAGATCTCTGACTATATTTAGAGAGAACTAGTTTCAGTATGTGATATGGGCAGAAATGAAAGCAGAAATGCTACAGAATATCTAAATGTCACAGGTGTTATTGGAGTGGAAATGTACATTTCTATACATTTTATAGGTATTATATATAACTAGAGTTTTACACCATATCGTTATACTTTATTTTCTGACTTTGTCACCTATCACCTTTTTCCAAATTACTAGAAACTAAAAATACCCTCATAAAACTAAGATTATGATTGCTTTCACAAATAAAGAAAAGGTAGGTTTTAGCTATCATTAAGATATATGCTATATATCATTTTTCAATATTGCTGGTGGATTGAGCTGAACTAAACATACACTGTAAGAAATCCCGAGATGAAGGTCTTATCTGTCAATGTAGAAGAGATTTGACTTTGGCAATTACTAATCTGGGAAATCAAACTATTTCAAAACATAAGGGTGAGAGAAATAAGTAATGAAATTATTATAGGAAAGTTATGTTTCAATAAAAGTAAAGTTGAAAGAAAAAAGTTATTAATGAAGAGATTTATTTTGTTGAGCCTTTTGGTCACAAAATCAAAGTTTTCACATTCTTTACTGGGTAAAATTCATTAATTTTTTCAGAAATTACATAAAATTAAGAAATTATTTTCTTTCAGAACAAATTGAGATATGTTTTTAGTTAAATGTATTATATAGAAATTAATGAAAACTCTCTTTATCACCAGATATTAAGTCAATTTGGTAATTATTGAGCTACTAGTTAATATGTTAGTAACTATATTTAAATAATATCCTTATCAGTTTTGAGAATGTTACATTAGTGAGTGAAAAGATATGATACTTTCTAGGAAGGACCAGTCTTAGCCCTGAAAGCTAAGAATATTCAAACTGTGCTCCAGTATATGTCTGTTCTGTCTGATGATGTCATCATAGCAACATTTATAACCAAAATATAAATATTTGTAAATACTATAATAAATACAGTAGGCTTTTTTTGGAGAGCGTGTTTTGGAGTTAGCTACCTGGGCTATATTCACTGCAAACACTTTCTGAGTAATTCTGCAGAAATAAAACAACACTTGAAGGAAGACAACTGCTTTCTTTTTAGGACAGGAAAGATTGTAAAACAAAAATAACAGCTGCTCTTTTCCTGTGATGATTTCGTTTTCTCAAGATCATGTTAACTCACTATGGGAAAAAGAGAGGTGGAATTCAGAATTCTTTTGCCTGTTGGGAATTTGAGCATCCAAATCTGAGTGTGACCTGACTTGTTCACATTTCACCAGTTTCTCATATTCTTCTATTCTCTTTTAAGTTTCCTTTCATGTTTTGACAATCTTCCTCAGTAGAAGGTATAGAAAACATCAAATTTCATGTCTTGAGTCTTCATTCCTAAACCTACATGAGTTAGTCTAGAACTAATATTTCCTTAATAAGTGGTGTCACTGAGAAGAATGAAAATCTCACTTTGAATATGCCACTGTAATAATTTTAAGTTAGGCGGTGGTAGTTAGGCTGTAATTAGTGTGAATAATGGTAACAAAGGAAACACTATGAAAAGTAATTTCAGTCTTTAGAGAAGCATTCTTCCACTTTACAAATATTTATGAGGAGAAATTCTGTTTTTTGGTGTTGAGGATCATTAAACTCATACTGAACCTATACTGTGAATCACTGGCAATGGTTCTGAGTAATATAAAATATAAAGCACAAAATTTTACCTAAGCTTACTCGTAGCAGGTAAAATTATCATGGTCATAGAGAAGTGGACAGGCAAATGGAGGATGTGATATTTAAGCAGACATAAAGCTTGATCAATGTGAGAAAAAGTAGATCAATGTGAGAAAAAGTAGAGAATTTAGGCAGAAGAAAAATATGGACAAAGTTTCTGAGAGGAATAACTTGGAATGTCTATGGAACTAGCAGGAACCCAGTGTGCCTGGAGCATAAAGAGCAAGTAGAGGAGAGAATAAGAAGAGATCATACTAGTTCAACAAATGAAGAAAAGCTTACACAGATCCTTCTTTACCCCATTATAGAAATTTGATCTTTTCTTCTAAGTGCTATTAGAAATCCTGTAGGCAGGAGAGTGATGAGGTCAGATTTCCATCAAAAATCACCACTCTAGGGCTGAGGATTTTGCTCAGTGGCACCACTCCTGCCTTGCAAAGGCAAGGTCTTGAGTTCGATCCCCAGTACCACACACACACACACACACACACACACACACACACACAAACCAATAAACAAACCATTACTCTGGATATGTGGAGAACAGAAGAAACATGGAAAGGGGAGGGTATAGCCAAGCCAATCTGGGAAATTTTATACCACTTCAAGAAGGAAAAAAGGATGAAAATGTAAAGGCAAGAGGAGACAAGTATATGCTTCTACTGTTGGTTCCCAAACTAAATGGACTGGAGAAGTTAAAGATGAGAAACGGAAGGGGCCACAGTGACTCATGATTGTTGCTGGTGATTTCCTAAGTTAGGTTCAGTTTGCAATGGCTGCAAAATATCTAAAGTGGGTATATCCTAAAAACTTAATTTGAAGTATATAACTTAGAAATCTGAGCCATAGGTCTTAATTTAGAATCACTGGCTTTTAGATAATAACTGAAGCCATGCTGGTGACTGAGATTCCTTGAGAAGAGAACACGAGTCCTGAACAGAGAGTAGCATAAAGAACTCCAAATTTTAGTTATTGATTAGTAAAGGAGGAACTGCAAAAAAGGCTGAGAAGGTATAGACAGAAAAATAAGAGAAAAGAATGGAGACTGGAGCCATCCTAGACTCCAAGGGAAAGGATAGTATTTCAGCAAAATGCTTAAAGCTCAGTAAGATGAAGATTCAAAGTACTTCTTGAGTTAAAGAAAGACATCATTGACATCTTTACAAGAATTTTGAGAGACAACTGGGGCTAAATCCATATTGAAGAAAGTTGTTTTATCAATGATAGAGAAAGAAAAAAGATGAACAAATTCAGGCAACCCCTTCTACATTTAGCTGGGAAATTGAAGAGATAAATAGAAAATGCATCTAGGAACAGATGTGAAAGAAGCAGGTCATTTAAAAAATAATAGTGTAAGGTTCCTGAGAATTGAGAAAATAGGCAGAGATGGGATCCAGCAATCTAGTGTAGAGAGTGGTTCTAGAAGGAAAATAAGTATCTCTTCTATTGTATCATAAGAGAAGGAGGAAAGGATACATACTAATACTAAATGACTTTTTTGGTTCAGTGACAGGAGGTTGAAGTATTTTCTGTATGAAGGAAGATAGTGTTGAGAGTATTGGGAAGAGATGGAATCATACAGCTGAACTAAGAATGTTCCAGGCAACCATTGCATTGAGTGGAAAAGAATAACAACTAGAGAAATGCAGGGGGATTGCCCAGCATTACTGAGAGGCTATTAATAAAGTCAATGGCAATGAGTAGTTAGAGTGGTACTTGAGTTCCTCCAGAAGCTCTCCTGTAAGAAAACTCTCATGCTTACATTAACCTATGATGAAAAATTTCCAAATAAGTGGATAAGGAGGGAAAGGACATAAGACAAAATGATAGTGACAAAAAATGAGTGAATAGGGATACTGACTGTGGCATCAAAGGAAGCAAAGAGAAAGTACCTGATGTAAATATCCTGACAGAATCAATAGTAGACTTAGAGTAACAGCAATTAGGCTAGGTAGAGAAGATGCTTGGGCTGAAACATGAGGATGTCTTGATTTTAAAGTGAAGTTGGTTTTATGACACTGGGAATGGGTGACTATGGTGGAAGGTGGAATGCAGGAACATATCACCAAAAATGTGGCTATCAGAAAACCAAGAGGCCAAATTATGACACCTAAGGATGGCAGTGTTTGGGTGGGTTGTGTTGGTTGCCAAAATTTTAAATTAACGAAGAGGCCTGTAGTAGTAGATAGCAAAGAGAAAAGGTGAAGTGACACATAACAATTTAGCATGAGACTTAAAAACTGCACTCCCTGTAAGAGAATAAAGGAAGGAGGCACTGTACGTAAGCAGCAAGGAGCACGCTTTCATTCTCACTCCATATGTTTGTTTATGTTGCATGGCTTGAGAGGAGAC